TTATCATGCATAATTATCCTTTTAATATGGCTGAACATGAATATTTTCAGATATTTTGTAATGGTTTGCAACCAATGTTTAAACTTGTGTCAAGAAATACAATGAGGTCGGATGTCCTTGAAGTTTACAAACGTGAAAAGGAAAAGTTACACAACCACTTAGAGAAACTCCTAGGTAGAATCACTCTAACTACTGATATTTGGACATCTGATCATCAACATATTGGTTATATATGCTTTACATCTCATTTTATTGATGATAATTGGGAATTGAACAAAAAAATAATTGGTTATAGATGTATCGAATATCCTCATGACGCGAAAACCTTTTTTAGATACATCACTGATATGATTTTGGATTGGAATCTGGAGAAAAAATTGTTCGCCATGGTGGTTGACAATGCTACTGTCAATGATGCGATGGTAAGAAGTTTGAAAAGTTGGCTTTGTGACAAGTCTGCAATACCTTTGGAAGGTGAGTTATTTCACGTGCGTTATAGTGCTCATATTCTTAATTTGATTGTGCAAGACGGGCTAAAAGTAATTGGAGTGTTTATTCATAAGGTTAGAGAAACTGTAAGGTATTTGAAAAGGTCTCCATATGCAACACAAAAATTTGCTCATGCAAAAAATCAACTTAGGTTGAAAGATAATAAAAAGGTGAAGATGGATTGTTCTACTGGGTGGAATTCTACTTTTGAGATGATTGAAAGTGAAATAGAGATGAAAGAGGTGCTTTGGCGCCTAGCACAAACAGATCGTAATTATAAACTCTATCCAAGTGATGAAGAATGGAAAATTGCTAAAGTTCTATGTGATTGCTTGAGAATATTTTATGGTGCAATAAATCATTTTTCTGGTTCTCATTTCCCCACATCAAATGTGTTTTTTCCAGATGTTTGTAATATTCAACTACATTTATCTAAATGGGAAAGAAGTGAGCACAGCTTTTTGAGTATGATGGCTGGCCCAATGAAATTGAAGTTTGTTAAATATTGGGAGCAGTGTTGTTTGGTATTAGCAATTGCTATTGTTTTTTATCCAAGATTTAAAATGGATTTGGTTGAATATTATTATGATAAACTCTATGGTGTTGATGCTCATACACATGTTGAAAGAGTTCGTAAGGCAACATTTAACCTTTTCAATGAGTATGATGATAGTTCATCCCAATCTGAAGTGGAAGCAAGTCAAGAAGTTGGTTATAGTAGTGATCATGGAATGGGGGCATTTCTAGAGGACCAATTGAGTGGGTTTGATTCTTGGTCAACACAATTTCGATCTTCTAATTTGTCATGTTCTTCGAAAAAGTCAGAATTAGAGAAGTACTTGGAGGAACCATTATTTCCAAAAAATGAAAATTTTAAAGTTCTGAATTGGTGGAAGGTTAATAATGCTAAATTCCCCACTCTTAGAAAAATTGCTCGTGACATATTAGCTGTTCCAACAACTACTATTGCGTCTGAGGCTGCATTTAGTGTGGGAGGAAGAGTAATTGATGATTTTCGTGCTTCGTTGCTTCTGGAAACTATAGAAGCTTTGGTGACCACACAAGATTGGCTCCCTTCCCTGAAAAGAGAGTAAATAACTAAGTATTCTAATTATTAAGTTTGGTTATATTTTTTTCTCAAGTGACTATGTATTATTATTTATTCCTTACAAGTACTT